ACTTTTCGTGTTATTACAATTTTTTACACCATTTTTCCATAAAACCCTTGTAACTCATCAAATATTAATTCTACTCTAAATTTGATTATTAGATCAATAGAAAGAGCATTATAAACTCTATGAGATTCATTTTTTATTGTAACCTTAGGCAGAGAAAATGCATAGTTAGAAGATAAAATTTTACAAAGTTCTTCTCTAAACTTTCAGATTTGCTTGGTTCTGTAAATACAGATATGACAGTTACAGAAAAATTGTACATAATATTGAACTGTAAACAAATGTATTAAATTTCTCAAATGCCAGTTATCACTAATGTAAAATTAACGTTTAATGTCTACAAATTTGATTTTTCTTTACTTTTACTTATATTACTTTTTTACTTATATAATACAAAGTAAACAAAACAGTGAAGCATAAGAAAAAAAAATTAAAATAAATGTTCAAAATGTTCAACATTGCAAAGCCTGAAATGTTTTTTTAACTTTTTATTTTATGATCAATTCTAATATTGTAAGAAAGAATATTATTTTGCATTATGTAAGTAAAAGTAAAGTAATTCCTGTCATACACTACCCGGCACCCGTTGGCTTGTACTCAAACACTTAACAGTACTTTCTCCGAATTATTTACTTTTAAAAAGCTATGTCGGATTTGAACCCAGAACCGATAGCGTGGCAATGAGAACTCTCATTATATTTTAATAGAAGTTACAAAATCTTAATGACTATTGTATCAATTTTTTAGCGACTTTGAGAAATTAAGTATGTGAATCTAAAAATAATTAGTACGGGAAAATATGTGCCATATCGGTCAGTATTTACAGAACCAAGAAAATCGTACATAAACTACCGATACTTACCACAGTTGGTCTTTTAAACGTTTTTGATTTTTGATTGAAATTACAAATAAAACACATCTCTTACGGTTTTCAACGCTTTTTCCATTAGAGTAATCAGATTTACTGCCGGTTAAACGTATTAGGTTAAACATATTATGAGATAAAAGGACTTTTATGGTAGTTGCGAAAGGATGGAAATAACCAGGCGAAAATTGGAACATCGAAACGGAGGATATCACGCAAAAAATGCTATTCAAGCTAGACTGTTGCAAAAATTGAAAACAACAGACTGAGAAAAGGTTTATGTTGGACCAAAACATTAGTATTGATCGGCCAAATAAAGTATGGTTACTGATATTGTATACATAAAAACTGGATGGATGACTAAGTGAAACATCACGAATAAAATTAAAAATCAGGCTTTGGCCAATAGGAGTTTTTTAAATTCAATTTTTTATTGAAGACAACTTCCGAACTATCTGAAAAATAATAAATACAAAGAAATAATAGTTAAGAAAATAAGAAAAAATTGTAAGCTAGGCAAAAACAAAGCGCAAAAACTATTTTAAAAAATTTCAAATAAATAAACTGTGAGACTTGACTAAGTTTTTTATATCATAGTACAACGTCAAAAAACTGTTTCAGGATTTTATGTTAATAATTGGATTAATTCGTGATATGAAGAAGCTGACCACGTGACATAAAATTAACATATAATGTTGTTATGTTAAGAACAGATCGTGGAAGCCCACCAATAATTCTAAGAGCAACGTTTTGTACTATTTGAAGTCGTCCTGAGTTCTCCTATATATATTTTTTAAATAATAATTTTTGATTTGATGGTATCAAAACTACATTTTCTACTTTAAATATTTCACAAGCTGGTTTGATGGCCATGGCCATTGCACATTGAAAGTGGAATAACTCTTATATACGAGGACAACTACATAATACACAGAAATAATATTTTGAAATTAGTGACCGTTAATCGATATTTATTTAGAAAATTAACGCAGATTTTGAAAATTTGTTTTATTTTTGCAGGTGCTTCTCATGTAAACAGAGCTAAATCCTCAAATATAATTTTGCGGATTATAATAAATTCTTTTAACTGTTATCTTGTATACAAAACATTTTATTTTATTAAATTCACTAATTTCATGGTCCGCTTGACCAATTAATACATTACAATTAATTAAGGTTTTTAGTTGAGATGAAAAAATTGAAAAATGCCAAAAAGGAGGGAAAACTCATAAGGTGGGGTTGAGATAGGAAGTCGATGTCCGAGTAGATCGAAGTCACGAGAGCTCAAGTGGTAGAGCAGCGGCGTATCTAGCCGAAGATCGTGGGTTCGAATCCCGCTCGTACCATTAACTTTTTTTCATCTCAACTAAAAACTTTAATTAATTGTAATTTTAGTTTATATTGAATGTTATAAGACTGAGGACCTGCAAAATTAAATATGTCCAAACTAGATTTTCGTCAAATTTATATGTACGAAATTATACTTGGGCATAGTGAGTACCCCGCGCGTATCAATTTGGGGTAGGAAAACATTAGCGAATGCATCGATGGCTTCAGAGATTTCTTCTTGGAGATTTTTTTCCGTTGTGGACGACGACCAACTCAAAACGGTAATTAAAGAAAATTCAAGTAAGGCAACACAGGATCCCATATGCAGATTATGTAATGAGGAGGAGGAAGCCATCCATATCATCTTCGAATGCGAAACAACAGTTCGATGGAGATTTAACCTAACATAGGAAAAATTGTAGCAGCGACAGTAAACCAGATACTTCTAACATGAAGGGTTGAGTCTATTGCACTGAACGCGGAAGCTAAGAAGGTACAATAAGCCAAAAGACTGCAGTGCCTGGCGAGCATAAATCCCGCTTCCTATTATCCTCAGTACCATACCAAGACGACACGGGAAATTGCGGAAGAGCTTGGTGTTAACCACTCAACCGTTGTTCGCCGTCTGGAGCGAATTGGTAAAGTAAAGACGCCCGACAAGTGGTTACAACTTGAACTAACCAAAGCCCAAAGAAATCGACGCTTTGAAATTTGCTCGTCTGTTCTGTTGCGCCACCAAAATGGTTAGGGATGATCCATTTTTCGATCGAATCATTACGTGCGATGAGAAAAGGATCTGTACGATAACAGGAGACGTACAGGTCAGTGGTTGACAAGGATGAAGCGTCAAAACACTTCTCGAAACCGAATCCACACCCCAAAAAAGGTTTGGTGGTGGGTGTTCTGCTGGTGTTGTTCACTATAATTTGCTGAATATTGGTGAAACTATCACAGGAGAGAAATATTACCAAGAAAGTGACAAAATGCACAGGAAACTGCAACCTCTTTGTCCAGCACTCTAAGGGGCCGATTCTTCTTTACGATAACGCCAGGTCACATATCGAATGCCAACCCTGCGGAAACTTAAGGACTTAGGATACGAAACCTTACCGCAGTTTCCATATTCACCCGACCTTTCGCCTACAGTCTTCCACTTTTTTAGGCATTTTGATGACTTCTTGTGCGATAAATTTTTTAGAGAATACGGTGAAGCTGAAAACGCCCTTTTATGTATTTATTTACCGTCCTCCGATTAAAAATGCATACAATAAAAGTATTAAGGTATACATTTAGAAATATTTATAATAATAAAAAAAATCAATAAAACAAACAATCAAACAAATTAGAATGAATAGAAACAATTTGAAAATGTACTAATATTACATGATTACCAATTATTATTTATAATCAAATTCAGTATTAATTGTATTAATGATACATTATTTAATTTTCTAATAATAAAATTTGCTTAAACTGACATTAAATATATCATTCGGATATCGTGAGATGGGTCTGGTGTGATGTAGGTTTCCGAACCTTTTCTTTAACGTGCCAACGTTTCGATCTTTATTGAGATCATCTTCAGGGCCTGGGATTTACAAACATTGTTTAAATTGAACAAATACATATTTTTTGTACATTAAATACATGTAGGATGTGGAAAAACGTGAATCTAACAATGCAAAAAATATTTTTTATATTCAATGAAAGTATTTCTACTCAATCAAAGTGAGTAGAATTATTTGATTGAATATAAAAAATATTTTTTGCATTGCATAGATTCACTTTTTTCCACATTCTACATGTATTTGTTAAATTTAAACAACGTTTGTCAATCCCAGGCCCTGAAGATGATCTCAATAAAGATCGAAACGTTGGCACGATAAAGAAAATATGTTTCTGAAACCTCACGATTTCCGAATAATCATCGACTAACAGTCACACACATTAAATATATCTATATTTTCGAAGGGGTTTAAAAAATATGTTGTTCTTGGAACAGAATTTGGCATAATTAGTTGTATGGCAATCGATGGAGATGTTATTTGACTTCTGGAATGATAAGATGGAACATGAAAGTCAATTCTGTTAAGCAGTATAGGGCAAACAGTTAAGGAATATAATAATTTGTACAATCAAAGAATTTCTATCTGTACAGAACAATCGTCAATTTAAGATCGAGTGTTCTCCAATTGTTGTGTAATGTATTAGGCGTAAAATCCTTTTTTGAATTTCCTTCCAAGACTATAGTGAGTCGAAATAAAGATTTTTGGGTCAGCTTTGATTTGTCAGATTTGTGCGATGGAAAATATTTTGAACAAATTTTCTTTATTTCGTACAAATTATGTTTCAATCTTAAGAGATAACAATCAATTCAGTGAACGCATATTTATTAAACGCACGGTAGATAAAATCGTTACACTATGTTGTATCAATTAAAATTGCCTTTTTTACGATGCTAGGTCATTTCCCACATGCAAGTTTTAAATATCACACGCATCACCGGTCTTAAGAATAAGTTTAGGAAATATGCTTTTGATGGTCCATGTATTAATAATCGAGGTTTAACCGTTTGAAATAGAACTGCGAGAGGAGTCAAGCCGTGTCGAAATCACTCGAAAGCGTCGACGCCGAGCCAAGCCTGCTGAACCTCCGAGCCATGCGGCTCGTCCCGTTTACCTCTCGATTTCTTCCAGGTCTTCCTTGGTACAGGCAGGTCCATCCTGAGTACCATCAGTCCAAATGGTTACCGTAGACCTGTAGGAGGGGATGCCCGGGGCCCCTTCCACTCCCTTGCTATATAAAGACACCGAGGCACCTCGCTCCCGGATCAGTTTACTCCCCGAAGTGGGAGAGTGCTGCGACTCCCGGAATCGCGGTTCCCCCTCCCGCCTTAATCCCATTTTCCTTTCCCACCCCCTACGCGAAATTTTCATTTCTGGGTTGGAAGTGGGGGGGACTTTTGGGTACATGTAGGGGGGAGGGGGAGCCGACCGCAGGAGGGAGTCGATCGCAAGATCAGTCCAACCAAGAGTCTCGGACCCTCAGCTCCTCATAACAGGTAAAAGAAGTGTGACAACTAACAAGAGCTTCAGAGTGGAAAATCTTAACAATTGTTATACAATACAATGAAATAAAACATTAAAAAATATATATTATAAAAAATGTAACAAAATAAAAAAGTGGAATAAATCCCCCCCACTCTTTTCTATGTATACTCCCACTCCAAAACGACTCGAGTATCATATTACCATAACCTAAATTGGTATTGTTGATTCAAATTTTCACTTATTGATATCAGATTTTAAAAAAATCCTAAACATCTTATCATCAAATCAATAAATTCCAGACATAAAGCTATCGCTTGTGGAATAACAATTGATTTGAAATTAGACCCTTTATTTAAAAATCAACAAAGTTCCTTGCTGAAGAACCCCGTGTTAATTTAAAAGTGATAGCAAAACAGAAGAATCTATCGAATGGTTATATTTAGCCCTCTCTTGCCCTGCCAAGATGCTCCTTGTTCGACTTATAAAGGAACGTTTCAAATTACACAGACTACGATCACTTTCGGCAGTTCACCGGGCTGGGAAAAAATGGGCTTAGGCCGTTTTACAAAGCGTTGTAAAAGCTCGAAGGGACGACGATAACTGGCCGGGAGAGTTAATTGGAATGAGGCCAGTTTATTAATATAAACAATTTTTTATCCATCGGGTTAAACTTGGCAGATATCCTGTTTTGGCAGATTTGTTAAAACGGTTAAAAATATGTGAGTTAATTGATGCAGGCCTTTTACCCAGCCGGTAACATTATCTCTATTCTTTTTACTGTTGTAAAGCGTTACACTTTTTTTTTAATGTTAAAATTTGATTATTTATGCAAATAAGTAATTTTTTGTTTTAAGATATATTTTTTCTTTAAAGTACAACAAGCAGATCTCAAATCACAACCGCTTTTGGAATTCTTGACCTGTTACAGTCCCCCCCCCCAAAAAAAAAAACTACATGGAATCTGGCTAATGTGTAAAGTATAAGATATAAAAACCTATTATTTATTATTGAGAATGCGTTATTGATACATATATGTATTATTTATTTCGATAAATTCACTTGCTAAATTGAACATTTTAGTAAGTAGTACAGTAACACATGTAAAATCACAAATTTTAACTATAAGTTAAGTAAACGGATCAAGATTTGGTAGGTAAAAGAAAAATAACATGTCAAGTGTAAATGAACCAAGATTTCTGTTTTTTCTTTAGATATGAAATTTCGAGTTATAGAACAGAAATAACCGTCAGTTTTTTTTAGCTTTTTGTGCTCTTAGAATAGTTCAATTTTTGTGATCGCATGAAATTGATATAGGCACAATTATAATCCGTTGAGAGGACGACATTTATCTGTGTTTTGGCCCACTATATTTAGTATATCGGTCGCTCTCCAACATTCCCCAGCCTAGTTTTTTCCCCGGTTGTAATCCTCCGCCCCTCCAAAGGCCTAAAATAGCCACTCACGAGAAATAAAAATGTTCTATATTCAAACACGCCAATTCATTCTCGTCTTGTTTTTAATGTTTTCCTTTTCGTTTTGTTATTAAGGCGAATCGGAAGGGAAAAAAATCAAAGGGTTGTTATCAAAGGACACCGAAAGCCAGACCACGTTGTAAAATTACCCATACCCGGATTCTTGACAAAAAGCGAAACCAAAGCTTTGCAATAATTTTTACAAGATTTTATCATTAAATTGAAAAATTTTTAAATATAAGCTGGTGCATAAATTATTTTACAATTCGTGTTTTTCTTGGTTTAAATGAAAGTGAAGTTTTGCATATTTAAAAAATCGAGTTTATGCAGATCTGCCCTACCTCCTTTATCTAACCGTGGCAATAAAAGAAGATTTTAAATTTATAATATTCAACGTGTAGATTTAATCAAAAATATAAACAATTAAAAAAATCTAAACTTAATCTCTGTTTTTTTTTTTTAATCAAATTCATTACGCCAAATTTTTATTCATTTTAAAAATGTTTAATTTTTACGAAAATATTAAACTAATGTTTGTACTTATTTCTTGACAAAAAAAGCATCTGTGATGGATCCTCTTACTTAACACTTTTCTAGATCTAGATAAAGCAGAGCTTAACGTCCAACGTCACGGTTGGGTTTCGCGGACGAGAGGATCAAATCACATTATACTTTTTTCCATATAATTCTGTATTAAAAAGGCAAGATTAATCTGGATCACGGTATGGTCATGAATTCAGTTGTTACTTCCACAATTTTGGCATATTTTGAGGTCATCATCTGGTCAAATAATTTTAAAACATGCCTGGAAATTGATATGATTAAGTTTTTAATAGACGATTTAAAATTTCTTTGAACTCGATCCCAACATTGCCAAGTAGTGATTGTTACAGTGATGACCTTAAAATAGGTCGAAAGCTTGGCAAGAACGAATTGGCTTTTTCATCAAGACTATACCGTGATCCGGATCATTTGTGAGTAAAAAAGTGGTCGATACGTTTAACACTAAAATTAAAAGGGCTGTGCCGGGATTCGAACCCAGAACCGTTAGCGTGGCAAATACCAGCTGGGCACCGTAGCCCGGCCCTTACTTAACATTTAATAACAAAGTAATATAATATTATACATATAAATAAAAGGAATGAGGTCATAGAACCTGGATTCGTGTCAAAAAATGAAACCTAGACTTGGCAATGATCTGAATTGAGAAGTGTTTCAATGTTTTTACAATCTTAGCAAAAGCATAATCCGTATTGAATTTTATAATTTTTTGTTTAATACTTATAAAAGTCATAATTTAAGATATATATTTTTATTTGAGATATTCAACTTGTGAATTTAATAAAAAAAGGAGGGCTTGACATGGGAAGTTAGTGTCCGAGTGGATCGAAATCACGATAGCTCAAGTGGTAGAGCAGCGGCGTATCTAGCCGAAGGTCGTGGGTTCGAATCCCGCACGTGACAACTGATTTTTTTATCTCAACTAAAAACCTTAATTAATTGAAAGATATTTATTGATTAAGCGGACCACGAAAACTGGTGAATTTAATTTAAAAAAATAATTAACTTTCGAGGAACTTTTTTTACAAGTAGTGAAAGTCGGTTTTTTTTTTTTTTTTTTTTTTTCAATGGGTTTGTCTTTGAATAATCTGTAACTTGGCATGATCAAGTGTACGAAAAATCAAATTCAAGTGTACCTGCCTAACTTATGTTTAATAAAAAAACGATGTTGTTTGATCATCTACGAACAGAGTATTTTTTTGTGAGACGGTGAGAAGAAAATTCCAGGGACGACATTGGGAATCGAACCCACGAACACGGGGTTAACGAGCCGAGGGTGGAACGCGCTAATTTTGAAAGAATAAAATCTTTGATATGACTTCACTGATCCACAGGAATTTTTACGGACAATTGGACAAGTGTCTAAAATATTTTATGATAATATTTTTAACGTATCACCAAAAAGGTAGTTGATTGAAATTTTCTTAATTTAATTATTAGTTTTTTCTTATCATAAAAATGGAATCTAAAACTAGTTGAAATAGACGTACAGAAATTAAAATTTCTACTATTGTAATAACGTGTGAGATTTTTCATCGGTCGTTAACGGCAGGCCCAACACTGAAGATGACGAAATGTCCTTTTTCAACCTACGAGGATTGGCAGATCAAAATGTCCGATGACGAACAAATTGCATATTGAAATAAGGAAGAATTCGCTTAAAATCCAGAGGGGTTATACATTTTGATAGGAACACGGGTCATCGGTGAAAAAAAATCATCTCCCCCGGTTAATCCAACCCAAAAACGTAAATTTTTTTATTGGAATGAAAATTCTTATTTAGGGTGTAAGTTGTTAAGCTGCTTTTAGCGCCCTATCGTTCTTTTAACTTAAAGATTTAAAAAAAGTTGTATACAATTTTAATTCCCGTTGTGCTTATATTTCAAGTTTATTATAATTTGCAATAGAGCTGCACATAGACTGGTTGTCCATTTGAACTCAAGGGTCAACTATCAACTGTGTTCACTCCTGTTCATAGTTCATACTCCTATTGGGACTTCGATCTTCAGACCTGCCCTCTGCCGACGCCCAGAAATTGTTCAATTGATGTCAGTGACGTGTCATATGGACGTCGCGCTTACACGGCCATCACTGTCACCAGCTTCGTTCTCGAAGAATTCGTTTCCTAGAAACGATAAAAACAACAAAATATAAGAATTAACAAAACGCAAGCAAAGAACCATAAGTATTAAGCAGCAGGTAGAAGAGATTAAAAAAACATACCTGTAACATTTGTAAGTCATCAAAGATGCCAACTCTTCAAATTTCTGATAGATGGTAGATGAGACGTTTATTTTGCAGTTTCGATCTGTTTTCAACTAGTATTTTGATTAGTTTTTAACAGTTTATTAGTCTGTTCGGTCCTGGTCTTTCGAGTCGAGTGTGGGGGTTCCAAGTAAGTCTTTAAATAGCAAATGCCATTCGCTGCTGTTTGTTAAACAAGAGATGTAGTAGATCGGAGGTGAGGATATGGCGAATGGTGGTTTGATTACATACACTCTTTTCTCCAACTTCTTCCCCAAATAGGAAAGATGATCCTGGAGGTTTCTGAAGGCATTGGACTTGAGCTTGATGAATGGATAGCGGTGACATGTGCATATGTGACTATGTATGGGACCATGACCGTTTTCTTATAGTATGGCAGTTTTGTTATTCCATTTTTTACTCAAAAGTTCCATTTAATTTGGAAATTCTTAATTCTTTAACACCAAGTTTGACAGGATGTTGAAACGCCCTGTACTACTTGACAAGTGGACTTTTTTGATGTCTCGTATGCTTTGGTAAAAGTGCTATCTGTACTTTTCCCGCATTCAACTTTTAACAATAAAGCAATATAAAATTAAACATATAAAAGGATGAAGTTGAGTTTAGAAAGTCTATGGAACATTCTTACACACTCATAAATTTCATGTAGTATAAAAATTTTAAACTTGGATTTTCATAGATTACAATATATNATATATATTATTACAAATACAACAGTAATTAGTTGAGGTAGTTGGGTATTATTAGTCTGTCGAATCTTGTTTTTCCTTGTGTTTTACTTATTACATATCATTAATTTCAATATTATTTTTTATATCTGTGATATTTCGTGGTCCAATTGACCAAATAACTTCTTTCAATTAATTAACTTTTTTATGTAAGGAATTGGTTGAAATGAAAAAGTTTGTGTCATGAGCGGGTTTCGAACCCACGACCTTCGGCTGTTCTACCACTTGAGCTATCGTGACTTCGGACACCAGCTCCCCATCTCAACCCAATTATTTTTTATGATTTCAGGTAGCTTTGTTTTGTTTGTCGGTTGAGTGTGAACTAACCAAAAGCCAAGATGGACGCGATCAAGAAGAAGATGCAGGCGATGAAGATGGAGAAGGACACGGCGATGGACAAGGCCGATACCTGTGAAGGGCAGGCTAAGGACGCCAACATGAGAGCCGATAAAGTATGTTTGGATGTTTTCACCTTATATCATGGCAACAATTTCTGATTTGCGAACATAAAACGTGCTCTAGATCCTCGAGGATGTCATGGACTTGAAGAAAAAATTGGCTCAAGTGGAAGCTGACCTCGACAAGAACAAGAGGGAACTGGAACAAGGCAACAAAGATCTGGAAGAGAAAGAGAAAGCTCTCACCAACGTATGTAGCACAGGAAAACTAATTTTGGACATACCTTTACCTTTAATTGTTATTGTGCACTAAAGGCTGAGAGTGAAGTCGCCGCCTTAAACAGGAAGGTCCAAATGGTGGAAGAGGATTTGGAAAGATCCGAAGAAAGATCTGGAACAGCCGCCATGAAATTGGCTGAAGCTTCCCACGCCGCTGATGAAGCATCCCGGTTAGTAAAAATTCCGATATAATTTCATTCGAAACTTACATTTACACTCTGAATATTTTTGAGAACGGTATCCATGATTGTGTTAATCTTGTCATTGAATCATAAACTTCATGAATGATGAAAAAGTAGTCTAGGAACTGTTCCAACTTTTGCCCTGTTTTGCACATCTTAGTCATTCATTATACATACAACTCACCCGAATCACTGCAAATCAGATGTTTCTTGAGCAATCCGGGTCATACCATTCATTACTCACTTAATAGTACACGTCGAAAAATATTTTCTGCACTGTTTGGTATAAAAGTATATTTAAAAACTAGCGCTTCGCACTCGCATATTTTCTCCGGTTCCCGGTAAAACTTTGGGTCATGAATATATAGCCTAACCCGTTCTTAATCTTTTATGTCCATAACCCTAAACATAACATAACCCTTACCTAACTGTGCCTAACCTTTCATGTCCATAACCCTAAACCTAACCTAAGCTAATCCTAAACAAACCCTACCTAACTTAATCTTTCACGTCTATAACTTAAATCTAACTTAGTGTTAACTTACCCTACCTAAAACCTTTCACATTCATAACCCTTAATCTAACTTAAACTTAACGAAACAAATCTTTCCTAAGCTTTCCCGTCTATAAACCTAAACCTAACCTTAACTTGTTCCTAACCAAATTTAATTTAACGCTAATCTTTCGCAATCCTAACATAACATAACCCAACCCGAAATAAGCTGAGTATCCTGCCCAAAAACGTATACTTATTAACACGAATATCGTCAGATCTTTTTTGCTGAACGAACTGGAGAAAGTAAATATTACGTAAATCAACAAAACAAGAAGAAATTACAGTTGATAATGGCTGATGTTTCCATGTCCTACAGTTGCAAAAGATTTGTCATAAAATTAGGAACTGTTTGTTAACTGTTAGATATGAAAAAATGAACTTTCCTGTGAATGTATTGACCATTTTAAACTCTTGAAAAATGCTGCAAAATTGCCCAAAGCAACGCTTATTGACCACTAATTGTTTTTGCAGTATGTGCAAAGTATTGGAGAACAGAAGCCAACAGGATGAAGAAAGGATGGACCAACTGACCAACCAGTTGAAAGAGGCTAGGCTTCTTGCTGAAGACGCTGATGGCAAATCTGACGAAGTTCGTATTTTCTTTATAATTATACATTTTTTAATTTGGTTTATTAATCTCTCTTTAAAATCAAAGGTCGCAAGAAAACTGGCCTTCGTTGAAGATGAGCTTGAAGTTGCTGAGGATCGCGTCAAATCTGGGGACTCGTAAGTATAAAATATTAAGTATTGTTTTTTTCCAGTGCTCATTAAAACCCCCTTTGATTGTAGAAAGATCATGGAGTTGGAGGAAGAACTCAAAGTCGTCGGAAACAGCTTGAAATCTCTCGAGGTTTCCGAGGAAAAGGTAGAAGAAACTTCCAATCAAAATATTTTTTGTCGACCCAACAACTATTCAATACAACTTGGCCACGAAAAGTTTTCAACCTGTCCGAGGATTGTATCCCCAGGGGGGCTGACATCCCTCACTTGATATACACTTTCTTCTACTTTATTTTTCTATAATAATTTGAAAAAAAAGCCTTTCATGTTTTTTTCTTGCCACAAACCCTTGGGATTCAACACTCAATATATTTTCGATAAATAATTCCGTGGTCTACATCGTTATTCCTTAATTATTTCTTTGATATTTTATAAATTGCAAAAAAAAGTGATAATCGCCTTAAAAAAATTTGTTTTTTTTATACAGGCCAACCAGAGAGTAGAGGAATATAAACGTCAAATTAAGCAACTTACTGTCAAACTAAAAGAGGCAAGAATTAATATTTATTTTAACATATAAATTTAAAAAAATACACATATTTATTTAATTAATGTTTAGGCTGAGGCTCGTGCTGAATACGCCGAGAAGACAGTCAAGAAGTTGCAGAAGGAGGTCGACAGGCTGGAAGGTCATTTAAATTTCTCATTGCTTGTTATAATAAGCTTTCTTCTATAAAACTTCTTTTAAATTTTAACTTGGTCTTTTGACATCTGGCTAAGATTATCAAACTGCTTGGCGAGAAAGGAAAGTCTGAAATTATTTTGGACGATCTGTATGCGACTTTTCCCTTTCTTGCCCGCTTCGACAATTGCGCAAAGTACTTTTAGATTAACTAACTTACTTCATAGTTAAACTATTTTCTTGAATTTAATTTGACTTGAAAATCCTACGAACTGTTTATAAGTCCCGACATTCTAAGGATAAATAATTCATATTTTTATAATTACATGCCTTATTTTATGTGATATTTGATTCACAATCATGATGTATTCAATATTTGGATAATGTCCGACATTAAAAGTAACAAAAAAAAATAATTACGTTTTAATTCTTGAATTTTTTATACGAAAGATTATACTAAAAATATAATCTTTAGACAATTTTTCATCGGGCAGATTTAGAAAATTAAAACCCTTGTGGCATCTTTCTGCAGTGTATGCTTTATTTCTTGCATGTTTTTGCTTATTTGATTTATTAAAACATTTGTTTTTAAAGTGGATGAAAAATGTGTACGTCCCTAAACTTAATGCTACTTGGGAAAATTCATTTTGTCGCGAAAACAGTTCATTTAAGGAATATTGTTGTTTATAACTTTATTCAACTTTCCAAACTGGAAAAGGAAAGTGAAGAAAGGTATTAATATATTTTTATGTTTATTTGAAGTTAAAGATGTAGAGGTAGAAGTGCGTGTTTGGGATATTTTCTTCGTATATTGCTTATTTTAGACCGCTGAAGACAGGGCATGGTACCCTTTTATCAGAAATTTCCATTCGGCAAGGGAAAACAACGCTGGGGTTTAAGTGCAGCTTATTTTTCCAAGGCTTTCCTCATGGGCTTATCACGTACTTATAAAATCGAATAAAGCTGAAAGAAGATGAAAACATCCGAAAACGTGCTTTCCACGTTTTTCTGTACCGTTCAAAACAATATGAGCTGATTTGTTTAAAAAATCTTCTCTCCCTTCCGACAATCGCTGTTAAAAAAATAATAAAAAAATCTATTTATTCCTTTTGATAATCGTTCTATTCAATATTAATACAAGTTATATTAGTTAAAAACCGATATAACTAAACGCGCCAGTAGAATTTTTTATTAATTTTATTTTTGCTTACAACTAAATAAAATATATATAATAAAAAAATATGATCAAGTAGTTTCATGGCGTGAGTAGCGTGGACGACGCCCATTAGTCCCATCCATAGGCGTTCACTGTGAAGGATAAATATTTTTGTCACTCATATCACCGCCGTTTCAGTCGTCTGAGAAGATTGATAGGAAGAGAAAGATGGGATGGATTATTTGATAGTGGAGTAGGATGAGATAAGTGATTATTAAATTGAAGGCATTGGCATTTAGCAAGGTTTAGGACGTAGAAGATGTTTTGGTCGGTGTGAATGTTATGGTTCGGGACATAGCTGGCTGAAGGCAATTATTTGTTGGATTGAAAGACTGAATATTCCATAGGTTAATGCTATCTCGTAATTTTTGCTATCTCGTAGAATTCTAGTCATTAAGTCCATATAAGTGCTAGTAGTTCACTATATTTTTGTTCTGTAGCGTTAATTTGGAACGATTCTCTAGCAGTATGTTTTAGTCAGCGTCTTCAAGTGTGTCAGGTACCAGTTTAACCATCAGTGTGTCAGTCCAGGTACAAACCGTAAGTGACGAACGTGGTTTGTCTTGATATAAATGATGAATGGTGGAGTGAGTTCGGTGTTCAATCCTTTTAAAAAAAAGATAGTTCCTATTCACAGTAAGTTGTTTTGCAACGATCCGGATTTCGAGCCCTTAGCTCATCATTAGGTTGAAGGAGTTCTACAATCGTTGTACAACAACTTACTGTGAGTAGGAACTATCTTTTTTTAAAAAGATTGGTTTGTAATAATGTTGAGTAAGAATGGAGAAGGGGTTTCTGAATAATGCAAAAACTTCAAAGTGGGATTTGTTTTCTTTGATTTTTGATTCTTAATGAGCGATTTTAGGATGTGGAGTTGTTAGAAAGAGCAAGAATCTATGGATCATGATTATGATAAAGGATAGACGTATCATCGGCAATAAATGTTTATGGCATTTGCGGTGAAAGGGATGGCAGTGTAGAGGGGATAAAGGAGTGGAGCTAGTATACCTCCTTGAGGAACTCCAGCGTTGATGGGAAAATACTTGACGGAAGATAAATATCAATAGATCCTTGATAGAAGGCACAGAACCGTCTAATATTTGGAATTTAAACAGAGTTTGCATTGAAATTGAATATAATTTTTATTTAAAAGTTTCGTTATGTTACGCGCTCAAGTTTTAACCGCAGCAAAGCACGTTATAACTTAACGCAATAAGGCTTTATAAACATGGTTTGTTTGTTGTAAATATATTTCAACATATATATGTTTTATTTTGATATATTGATGAATAAATCAAATCATTAAGTGAAATTCGGTACAATGCTTTCATCTTATGTGCTCTTTCGACTGTCCTAATCAAATAACACATTGTATACGTCCAATTAAGGTACCAATTGAGCCGGAATATTGTGAAAAGTCATATTAAATTTTTCCCTTGGGGATTTTTCATTAAGTTGAATTTATGTTTATTGGTTTAAAGTCATACAGAAAAAACTATTCGTGCAATGTTTTTTAAATCCAAATTGGTACACTCTCCGTCATTCTTCTTTAAAAATCATATGTTACCTGTACTATAACTTTATCTTTTCCGAACCTTGAGGGAGTTTTTTTAATATAGGTGGAAATTAAACTGACAAATAAAAAAAAATTAATCAAGATATGAGATGAGATATAGAAATTAACGTTTTTCATATTTGCTTGGTGGTCATAATTGACCATATTAATTATTACAATTAATTATTCTTTTTATCTACGGTTTTTGGTTGAGAAGAAAAATTAGTGTGAGGAGCGGGATTCGAACCCAAGACCTTTGGCTGGTTGTTGGGGTGGGTTTTTAAATGGCCTAACTAACATTGATGTTGAATTGTTTTTTTATGTAGTCCCCAGGTAGTCCATTCGGTCTCTGATGAGATTAAATGTGAAGTACACCCCAAATTTTTTTCTAAAGACGTCAAGAATTGGCTCTTTGACCATATGGCTAAAAGCAGTAACATAAATTATTACATACCATTTCAAAATTAAAATTATTAGTTTTTCATGTTTGTTGTATTATTCTTACAAGTTATAACTATTATTACAACTATTTTTTCTTACCACGTTTAGTAATATTATGTTTCGCAATCTCTAGTTTTAACCCCAAATATTTTTTTTTATCATTGTATTGCTATCAGCCCTTAAACAGATCTACCTCAAGGGTGCTGATAGCACCAACTTTTGTTATATAAATGTATATAGTTTTCTTTTCTACTGAAAATTTTGTACCAATTGTATCTCTTTTCTTTCTGTACTATGCATCAGCTAATAAAGTTGGTGCAAGAAAGTATTCAGGGGATCTCTTTAGACTGTTAGCATGCATGTTTTTTTAAACTTTTAACCCTTGTAGGATTTTTCAGCAATATACATAATGGTTTTATTTTGTGTTCAACAGACGAACTCGGACTCAACAAAGATCGTTACAAGTCTCTCGCCGACGAGATGGACTCGACCTTCGCCGAATTGGCCGGCTATTAGACACCTCAACCACTCAAACCAAAAATTTCGCCAAGCAACATCCTCGGGGTATTATCCATGTTGTCATCTTACTCCGCCGTGTCTACCTGGACGGCTTTGGGCTTACTCTCCACTCGAAATGCTGCTAACAAACCTGCTTACTTTCTATTTATCTCGTTTTTTTGCTGTTATTAATTATTTGTTAATTTGCAAATTAGACTACGGAAAATTTGTTTTTCTCTAAATTATCTTCACTATTTGTGCTTAAGTTAAAAAAAATTAATTTTAGTCGTGTGTGGGTTGAAACGTAGGACTAACACGTTGTTATATATAGTATACTTTATATATACAATCGTGTCTATGAATCCAAGTGCTGACCCCTCTGTATATTTTCTAGTCTTTACTCTAAGTCAATATATCTTTTTTTTTTTTTTTAATTTAAATAATATTTTAATTTTAACTGTAAAAATAATAATGGTAAAAGCAAAAAGGTTAAGTATATATAAAATTAAGATCTAGGGTAAGTGGTATGTAAGCAGCTTCGTTCATTGTATTATCACAAGTAGGCCTGAAGTAAACAACAACTTGATTTAACACCTGATATAATGAACAAGCAACTACCTGAAACTTTATTTTGTAAATTTTACAAATAAGCGAACCGAAAAGGGAATATTTTAATTTAAAGAATAGAATTACTTGTTAATCTAAGTATAAGGATGTTGTCATTAAAAAATATCACATTAGTTAAGTATAATATCAATGTAAGCCATTATATTAGGCTACTAAATAAAAGTATCGATGAATTGCTTGACGAATAATTTGTGAGTTGTTTTTCTTTTATTGTTTTAACTTGATAAGTAATAACCCCATTAATGACCCGTCAAACCTTCCGTCGGAAGGAAAGGCGATGACACGATGCAAGGTGTATGAGTTACCTTAAACATACAAACATACTTTGCCATCGGCGAATCATACTACACACATAGCTCTAATGGATGTAATTGTGTTGTCATATTTATTTGATGTTATAATCTAATTATGAGATTTATTTATGAATAAAACTAGGTTTTAAACCGCAAACGTTTAAGTTAGAATTATTTAAATTTTCACCCTCACGTAGAAAAGGATTTTGTATTATTTGGCCCTTAGTTCCCATCTTAGTTAAATTTAAAAAAAAAATAGGCCAAAACAATTAATACAATCAGGTTATACAATAAATGTAAATAAATATGTAAAATAAAAATATTCATGCACTTTGATGGTGACAGAAAACCGACAATAAGCCGAGCACCGAACAATGTTGTTGGACGAATATCTGAGCACCCATTCGGCGAATCCCGCATGTCTGGAGCCAACTTGAGAGAGAGAGAGAGAGAGAGAGAGAGAGAGAGAGAGAGAGAGAGAGAGAAAGAGAGAGACAACAAACTGGCGCACCAGAGACACTTACAATTTTTGGCAAATTTAGGAATCTCACTAGTAATTTACAGCAAACTTGTGTAATGAAAAGGGCAACCCATACAGTGCCTGCCCTGTTTGCCTATACAAGTGCTAACGTCACCTCTGTCGCCTAGAGGCTAGAAATGGCAGAGGTTTCCTTGATACTCTCAACAAATAGACCCAAATAATAATTATGGGATCAGCCTCACTTTAAAAATAATTTTGAATCTCGCCGTAGATTTCTAACTGCTCTACTGAATGAGACTCGTGGTTGTCGTGATTTGAGAACAACTTGTACCTCAGCTGGAAGGTACCGGTCAAGGGAAGCCGGTGTTAGAGAGCTTTACATCTCCAGAAGTGGCGGAAGGCTGAAACGGATGTGCTCCTTGTAGCACTTTTGGACATGGCTTTGCACTATATCAGTGGAAATGTTCGGAATTAGATATTGCTGTAGGTAAGTAATAAAAGTGTAGATAAAAAGGTAAAAATATAACCCAATAATAATCCAAATTAACCCAAATCACAAAGAATCAAGTATGTTTCGAAATAACATATAGAAAAAAGACACTGTCAAAATCTTCAAGAAAACACTACAACGTCAACTAAATAAATGAAGCAAGAGCGCTTGTTCCGATTCACGTCCGCACTGGCAAATGTTGCGCAACATTGAGTCAAAGAATCCCATATCGGATGGGATTCAAGAGTCCGAAAATGCAAGCCCGCAACACACCAGATTCATCGCAAAAATGAGTCGGGGCAGCCCGGACATGTCAGACGCAGCCGAGACTGTCCGGAGATTCAAAAAGTCGACTCAAAGAATCAGCGTACTAGGACGTAGTCTCACAAAAAAGTGTTTTTTCACACAGTCACACCACTAACAGTAAGGCCAGCCCCTGGAGGGCACATGCCATGAGAAACCAGTCAATGCTGGCACTCAGTTTGAGAGGTTAAGAGGCACGAAGGTGCAGAAAGAGCTTGAGTATTAGGGTTAAGATGGGAAGAGAGGTTGATATGAGACTTTTAGAATCGGGAACGGATCAGTTCGTTGACAAAAGGAATGTTGAGAGCGTTGTGGATAATGAGGTTAGTGACGTAGAAAGGAGCTTTGACAATTTTCTGAAGACTTTTGATCGGAAGGATGCACTCGTTCCATGTCTTGGCAGATCACCACAGTCCCACTTCGTATGTCCTGTATGTAGATAAACTTGCCCATAAACCTTTATATTAGGCAAGAAGCATGTACTTTTCGGACATTTTAGATTATTATTCTGTAACACAGAAAAGTTACGATTTATTTAGTTAAAAATTACTATTCGGAATGAATACCAATGGAAAATCATTCTTTTTATGTGTACCTGGAAAAAAAGCGAGTTTCAGGACACCTCATTTATCAGGGTGTTCGTCTCCTTGCAAATGGCGTAGAATTCACTGACGGAATTTATATTGTTATTCTTTATCCCGCCCCAGTCGCACATACGCCCCCTTCTAATACGTTGCTTTTTCTTTACTCCCGAAGCTAGTCCTACTTCAAACTCCGGTAATGGACTTAAGTCGGGGGGGATTGTGCTCGTGTTTTTGTATTCCGACCGCGGACCGGGGCCGGCTCTTTGTCACGACCGAGTACCATCAAATACCGGTTTGGATTTCTTTCCCCTTCCAAAGGAGAGCAACCCTTATATAAATTCTCCTCTCTTCTCGGGACTGATCCAAAAATGCTAATACAGACCCATTCATCAAAATTTAAACTACATTAAATCGGTTCAATGTGCTTAATCTCCTTTCTGACAATTTAACTTTGTTCGAATAATTAAGGAGAGGTTTCTTTACGTATATATGTTTCTTGAATTTATTAAATTTATTTGTTTAGTCAAGAGGTTTTTGTTGCAATAACATATTTTATTGCATATTGAACAACCCTTACATAAATTGTACACCAAATATCTCTGAACTTCTAATTCTTCAGCTAATATTTCTTCTACAGCAGAAAAATTTGTATATTTTGTTAGATTTTGACTAAAGTAGAAATCAAGTAAAAAAAATTGTTAAGGTAAAAAATAGTTGGAAGTTTTACCACTTTTAACTATTTGCAAATGGCTTAAAAACGACATGGTTTGAGAAGTATAAAGGTAGTAAAATCTTAATTACTATCGTTTTGAGTATAAGTAAGCATGCAAAAAATGTGAATGAAAACACAAAGATTAAACAAAAATGGCAAAAAGGAGGGAAAATTCAAAAGGTGGGGTTGAGATGGGAAGTTAGTGCCCAAGTGGATCGAAATCACGATAGCTCAAGTGGTAGAGCAGCGGCGTATCTAGCCGAAGGTCGTGAGTTCGAATCCCGCTTGTGACACTGACTTTTATCTCAACCAAAAGCTTAATTAGCTATAGCGAACTTTTTGTGCGGAATATGCACGAGATGAACCGATGATAAGAAAGAGAAGCTAGCAATAGAGAAGTACATACTGTGGATTATTGGATTTTTATCAGCCTGTAATGGATCTTTCTCAAACAAGGAATTTGGTAATTAAAATGGTTTAGAACAGTAATGTTTTATTGGAAATAAACAAAACAGGAAAAAACGAAATTATACAAAATCAATAAAAGAAATAGAAAGTTCTTAGCTTAAATTTTCTTTTATTTGACACGCAGTCCCTTCTTCAAGATGTTTTCTTTTTCTTTTTTCTTCAATATGTTTTCTTCTTTATTCTTCTTCAAGATGTCTTCTTTTCTTTTCTTCGATTACAATCGCCACGTGCGAGCCGATGAACCCCAAACTCCACTTAAAAACTCAAACCTTCCTCATTCCTCCACCCCTCTCTCCTATCCTACCCGCGCTCTTCAAAAAATGCTCGCCTCGTATTCCCTATTTACGTGGCTTGTTTGTTATAAGCCGCAAATCTCAAAAGCACAGTAAATGAACAACATCCCTATTGTAACATTCCCTTTATACTACGGATTTTTTAACGAAGACATTTTTGGGTTTCTTATTATTAAATCTTTTTCGTCCTTCCTTAAGTCTCAGTTTGTTCAAAAAACAATGGAATTATGCTTTTTTAAACGTACTAAATTTTTCCGGCGTGCTTTCACCAATGTGTTACACCAACGTACTATCCTAGGAAAAAATAATGTCTGATATAAAGTGCACAAAAAACCAAAATTACTGGTTAGACAAAAATGAACACGCGACGTTCCAAAATCATATTATCATCCTCATGCCAGGAGATGATTTGCTAACCATCATTATGCTTCTATGGGGGCATGAACATTAAACCGTAATTATTCAGAAATCGTGAGATGCGGTCTGGTGTGATGTAGGTTTCAGAAAAACATTTTGTTTATCGTGCCAACGTTTCGATCTTTATTTAGATCATCTTCAGGGCTCAAAGTGTATGTCTTCTGTGTAATTCTGCCACTCTTGCGTGTCGTATTGAGACTGGAACTCTAGTCATGACGAGGCATGACTAATTTAGTCACAATATAGTTAGTCATGACTAAATTTCGATAAATCATGTTCAAATGGGTGCTCAAAAAATGAAAAATACACAACTTCATCACTTTTTAAAAATTTTCTAACAGAAATTTATTTCATCAAACGAAAATCCTTGAACACCTTATTTAAGAAAAATCAACTCCGTCGTTAAAAAAAATAATAATAAATAATGAAATAATAAATAAATAAATAAAAAGCCAAAAAATAATGATAATGATAATAATAATAAAATAAAAAAATCCTAGAACAAGCTACGCTTTGAAAAGTAAATATGTTTACATAACCGATCAATGGAAAAATATTTCTTTGAATTAAAATTTATTCCACTTAAAAGGAGAGATTTCTACATTATTTGGAAAATCACTAATTTCGTGGTCCGCTGGACTAATTAATATATTACAATTAATTAAGGTTTTTAGTTGAGATGAAAAAAAGCTAATGGCTCGAGCGGGATTCGAACCCACGAACTTCGGCTAGATACGCCGCTGGTCTACCACTTGATCTATCGTGACTTCGATCCACTCGGACATCAACTTCCCATCTCAACCCCACCTTATGAGTTTTCTCTCCTTTTTGCCATTTTTCAAATGTCGTGTAATCGGATTGGATTCTCGACGACAAATGAAATGGCGACGGAGAGCTTTAGTGAAGTGTATTTCATTTTAATTCATTAAATTCACTAATTTCGTGGTCCGCTTGACCAATTAATACATTACAATTAATTAAGGTTTTTAATTGATATGAAAAAAAGCTAATGGCACGACCGGGATTTTTTTCATGTCAACTAAAAACCTTAATTAATTGTAAATTATTTGGAAAATACACCATCTAGGGGTCTTGATTGTAATAAAATAGACATGTAGAATAATTATGTAACTTTTCGTTTATGATA